GAGGAGGAGGAGGAGAAGAAGGAAACGAAGGAGAGGTAGGGAGGACATCTACGTCATCCAGTTCATCAGCACCGTGATGTACGCGTCCTACGAGCTGCAGGCCGAGGGCGAGAGGCCGCTGACGTGCGTGCTGCGCACCAATCAGGACAGCGCGCCCCTCTGCATGCTGCCCGTCGCCGCCCCGTGCCTCCTCCTCCTCCTTCCATCACCCCTCCTCTCTTCCTCCCTGTGTTCTCCTCCCTTCTCCTTCGCGCCTTCTCCTCCTCCTCTCATCTCGTCCCTTCCTCCTCCTCCTCCTCCTCCGTCCTCCTCCTTCCTCCTCTGTGTCCCTCCTCCTCCTCCTCCTCCTCCTCCTCTTGCCTGGGGCCATCTCCTGCGTGCAGCCGAGGTTGGGGTCTTTTTCTTGCCTGCCGGGTGCTTTTCTCTGGTGTTTTTTTCCCGGGGCCAACTCCTGCGTGCAGCCGAGGGCGGGGTGTGGTGCAGCAGGGTGGCCCCCGATCTCCCCCCCTCCCCCGGGTAACCTCCCCTTCGGGCGTCTCTTTCCGCGCTCTGCTCGGGGGCCTGCCGGGTTCTTTTCTCTGGTGTTTTTTTCCTGGGGCCAACTCCTGCGTGCAGCCGAGGGCGGAGTGTGGTGCAGCAGGGTGGCCCCCGATCTCCCCCCCTCCCCCTGGTAACCTCCCCTTCGGGCGTCTCTTTCCGCGCTCTGCTCGGGGGCCTGCCGGGTGTTTTTCTCTGGTGTGCGTTTTTTTCTGGGGCCAACTCCCGCGTGCAGCCGAGGGCGGGGTGTGGTGCAGCAGGGTGGCCCCCGATTCCCCCCCCCTCCCCCGGGGAACCTCCCCTTCGGGCGTCTCTTTCCGCGCTCTGCTCGGGGGCCTGCCGGGTGCTTTTCTCTGGTGCCTCTGTTCTGCTCCTGTGTCGGGGGTCTGCAGGGCGGGGCCCTGCCTGGTGGCTGTCCGCTTCCGACTCCGAAGGGGTCGGTCGTCTCTCCGGGAGCGGGGATCGGTGGTGAGCCCCCCGCATGCCGACCATCTTGCACTTCGGCGGTCGGCTCGGAGATGCGTGCTCGCTCTCGGTCCACAGGATTTGCGGCATCCCGGGATGCAGTCCCCCCCCCTCCTCGGTGACCCCCCCTTCCCCCTCCTCCTCCTCCTCCTCCTCCTCCTCCTCCTCCTTTTCCTCCTTTTCCTCCTCCTCTTCCTCCTGCTCCTCCTCCTCCTCCTCCTCCTTCTCCTCCTCCTTGGGGACTCCCCTTCGAGAACAGGGAGGGGGTCGTCGAGGAGGGCCCCCCCCACGTAGACACCTCCTCGGTGGTCGGAGACGCCCCCTCCGGCACCGCTCCTCGGGCCTACCCTTCGGCTTCGGGGACGCCTCCTCGGCGACACCCCTCGGCGACCCCCCTTCTGGGACCCCCCCTCGGGGACCCCGCCTCGGGACCCCCCCTCGGCGACCCTCCCGTCGGAGACCCCCCCCTCTGACACCGCTCCTCAGGGACCCCCTCTCCGGCACCTCCCCCCTCGGCGACCCCCCCCCCCGCAGACATAGGGTTTGCCTGCGCGCAAGCCCGAAGTAACCACTAGGGGTTGGGGCACCCCCTAATTAGGGATAGGCCCTAGTTGTTAGGAGCCGAACCTACCCCTAATGCCCTGGGCCAGCCCCAGGGTAGGCCTCAAAATCAACCATGGATTACGCCTACGGTTGCCCCAGAGGCAGGTGCTAGGGATAGGCCTGGGTAAACCTAGGAGTAGGCCTAGGGTAGGCCCTAGGGGTAGGCCTGGGGTAGGCCAAGGGGTAGGCCAAGGGGATAGGCCCTAGGGGTAGGCCTAGGGGTAGGACCTAGGGGTAGGCCAAGGGTTAGGCCCTAGGGGTAGGCCCTAGGGGTTGGCCTAGGGGTAGGCCTAGGGATATGCCCTAGGGGAAGGCCTAGGGCCAGGCCTACGGTAGGCCTAGGGTAGGCTTAAGGTATGCCTAGGGGTAGGCACTAGTGGTAGGCCTAGGGATGGCCTTAGGGGTAGGCCTAGGGTAGGCCTGGGGTAGGCCAGGGGTAGGCCCTAGGCCTAGGGGTAGGCCCCAGGGGTAGACCTAGGGTAGGCCTAGGGGCAGGCCCTAGGGGTAGGCCTAGGGTAGACCTTCGCTGGGTGTTCTTTAAGCATTTTTGCGGGTCCAGGTCCGTCGGTTTCGGTCCTCGGCCGTTTTCACTAAAGGGTGGTTTACTAAAGGAAGGTTTGTTCACCTCCGAGGTTGGCCAACGCTCACTTACCCGCGGCAAGCTCCGCCACCGCGCTAGCACAGCACGTTGGGTGGCGAACGACAGGGAATTGCTGTGCTGCGCGGTACCGCGTGTCCCGAGGCCGTGTGAAACTGTAATATGTGAAACGCTCGTCCGCGTCGTGCCACTGTCGGTGATGAATAGATGGATATGTTGGTGCTGAGGAGAAGAATGATGAGGTAATGAAGGACGTATTGGTGGTGATGATGGCGATGCTGCCCACAATTGTGATGA